TAATTTTTCCTATAAATTATTTATAAATAATAAAATCCAATTTCATTCCAAGTCCTACAAACCAAACACACCAATGATCTCAAATCTATTCCAATCCAAATCCAAATCCTTTCATGAAATCCAAACTCCTAAAAAACAATCTTGCAAACCAAACGGACTCTAATATTTTGAGGGCTTGTACTTTATTCTTTGGTGACTTGTACTTAAAGCTTTGAAGTTGTATCTTTTTATTTTATTAAAAGGGTATTTGATAAGAGGTATTAAGAAGTAATTAATTGTGATAAAAATAAAAGAAACTGTTTGATTTTTGTATAGTATAATGGGTATATTTCCTCATAGGGGTCCATTCAAGGAATAACTGATTAGTTTGTGATAACCGTGAGATTCAATTTCAACCACAAATCAGAGGTTAGATTAAGAAATTGATAATTTTGATTTAAAATATTAATTAAGAGCATTTTAGTCATTCTATATTTCTCCCCTCTTCTCTCTCCTCTCAACTCTCAACTCTCTTCGTCAAACACTTCATCTCTCCAACGAACACCATATCAACACATGATGCACACTGTGATACACTTCATAAAATAACGAAAAAACACAGTGTGACACACTTGGTAAATAAAACATTACTTGATATATTGTGTTACACTTCATAAAACAACAAAAATATATTGTGATGCACTTCATATAACGACAAAAATACACTATGATATCAGATCTGGTTAATGAATACAACTGTGATATACATAGATTACGAAGAACATAAGAGACTTGCAGCTTTTTAAACGAATCAAAAATGGGGGATTTGATTATAATTCTATTACACCTCACTTTGTTTCTGCAATGATTGCACGTAATTGAAGATATGGTGAATGAACTTCCATAATTTATTTGATTAATAAGGAAACAATATCGATCTCTTTGATTGATAACCGTTATAAAAAAATATTAAGAAAAATTACTAATACATCATTTTTCTTAATTAAAATAATACAATTAATCTAATAAAATAATTAACTTATATTAAATCTCACAGTTACCACAAACTGATGTAGTGTTTGCTTTTCGTTTTCCCTCTTGGTTGGAGACAAAACAAATCTTATTTTATTTCATTTGATTTGATTCTTTTTACCAAATACATGTGCTTAGATGACTTGTACATTTTGCTTTGGAGTTTGTACCTTTTGTGGGTTTGTACCTTTTTTAACACATTCTATGTACTCACGCTTCTCAATGCAAGAATGCTTTGATTACTTATATTTTGTGCAAGTTGTATTTTTCGCTGCATTTGGTATATTTGTGTCTTTCGAAAAACTCCTTTTGAGACAAAATTCAAACTAGTTTTAAAATGATTTTTCCTGTTGGCTAAACCATAATGTTTTAGAAATAACTTATTCTTTTTTATAAAAGCACTTATCAATTTATTATAAATCAAAAGGGTTTAACTTTTTTAAAAACTTATTATTACCGGTTTGATACCAGTATAAGTTGTTTATCAAAATACTCAAAAATGCTTATTATCGGTGTCACATCGAATAAGTCAATAAGTTATTTTTATAAGCAATCTCAAATACCCTCTTTAATAATGATTTTGAAAAAATTTCTTAAATTAAGAACAAAAAAAGTACGTTATATTTTCATACAATTTGACTTAGAATTTGTTTTGATTGATTTTTCATTGAATTCTGTATGAATAAAGATGTCTGTGTTGATTAATCTATTTGTTATTTTTATCAACGAAGTTAAATATATTATTATTTATGTAAAAAATGTGAAGTTTTACTAACATAATAAATTATTTTAATAATACTAAAATATTTAGAATAATAACGGTTGAGATAAAATATAATTTTTAAAATATTTTCAGTTCTAATTTATGAAAAGTTATACATAAAAATAAGAGTAAATTGCATGAAGAAGTAATGTATTTTAACTTTATTTTTATTTCGGGTAACGTATTTTCAAAACTTTCATTTTTGTACATAAGATATAAAGTTTTAAACATTTAAGTACCTGAGTAAGCGGTTGAAACATTAACTGGTTACCATGTTGATGTGACGAGTGATGTGGTATTCGGTTAATGCTTCAGCAAATAATACTAAGTTGGATATCACCTTATTCGCCACATCAACATGGTAACCCGGTTAATACTTCACCGGTTATCCGGATACTTAAATGTTTAAAACTTTACATCTTAGGTATCAAAATGAAAGTTTAAAATGTACATTACCCAAAATAGGAATTAAGTTAAATTACATTGTTTTTCCATACAGTTTGCTTTAGAAATAATATCATAGATGTATTAGGGGTTGTTTGTTTACCTCTTAATAGTTCTATTAAGAGGCAACATCTGAATCGTTAACAGATGAATCTTGTTTGGCAAAAAAAAAAAAAGTCTGTCTCTTAATGGTTCTAAAACCCTCTGAATGATTTTGTATCCTGAATCTCCCTTAACCATTAAGAGCCCTAATTTCATTGTACACAATTTCCAAACAATTATATTTCATTTTGTACTATAACACGACTCTTAATCATTCTGACTACTTAATCATTCTGCATTAAACCATTCAGCAATTGCCAAACAGCCCCTTAGTTTATGGTAAATGAGAAGTTTCTTTTTGAATTGAAGTTATTTATCAGGAAAAGTTTTAAAAAAATTAATAAACTTTCTCGTTTTAAATAAAAAATATTAAACCTTCACATTTTAAATGATTAATATCTTGAATTTTTTTAAAAATAAAATAAATAAACCATCGATCTTTAATTAGTCCATTAATGAAAATTTCTTGGGTTAAGAGAAAGTAGTTAACCAATTTTTAAAAAATACAATAGTTTATTTATTAAAAATTTGTTCATAAACTTAATTAATCACAATCTAAATTTTTTTATTGAAATATAAAAAATTTAATATTTTTTAATAAGAAAAAAACAATTTAGAAACTTAATTATTTAAATAAAAAAATATTTTTTTATTTAAAAATTACTTTATAAACTAAACTATTTAAAATAAAAAAATTTATAATGTTTTTTGAAACTTTTCTTTTTATTTACTATTTATTTAAAACATAAATTACAATACACAAAGCATGAATGATTCATTGACTTGTACTATTTGATTTTGGATTTGGCATTGTGAGAAGGATGAGATGAGAGGGAACACGATAAATATTTTAGGGGTGCGTGAGATTATTTATAAAAACAACTTATTAACTTACTTCGATGTAATACCGATAATAAACATTTTTGAGTGTTTGGATAAATAACTTATACCGGTGTTAAATCGGTAATAAGAAGTTTTTAAAAAAGTTAAATCTTTTTGACTTATAATAAGTTGATAAGTGCTTTTATAAAAAAAAACATAAGTTGTTTCAAATAAACAATTTTAAACACCTTATTAAATTATTCACGATTCCCAAGCAAGAAAGGTTTGTACCTTATGCTATTGAAGTTGTACAATTTTCTTTGAAATCTGGAAATCATTGTTTTTGAGGACGATTAGAAGACAACAAACTTGAAATTATTTTATTCAACACTGTCTACTGTCTGTCCCCTCAGCAAGGCCGCTTCTTTGACTTGTACCTTATGCTGTTCAAATTGTATGACACCCTTCTGACATTAAAATTATGGAAATTAAATACTTATTTATCTTTCACTTACCGGGTAAGACTCATGGTCCTTGTCTCGTTTTTACTGGATAAAATTATTAGTCCTTACCATATTCATGTGCTTACCGTGGTAAGAGTCGTCGCCCTCACTTATCCTTGTCTCGCTCTTACCGGGTAAGATTATTGGTCCTTACCATGTTTATCCGGTAAAGTAATGTGACTTGATGTTCAATTATCCGAGTAAGCGTTTGGTAAACAGCCCGTAAGTGAGACCATCAATAAGAAACTTTAAAAATAAATATTTAAAAAGAAAAATAATATTATAATAGTGAATGAAATATTCTAATTTATAAGAGTATTTTCAACAGCTTCTCTGGAAAGGGAAAGACAAGGATTTTAATCCAATATTTTGCTCCAACAACTTTTTTCATAACTATTTTTAAAATGGAGAAAGAATGAGAGAGAAAAGTTGCTTCTCTCAATATGGAATTAACTCCGAAGATAATTATCAAGTGAGATCACCATAAAAAAACTTTAAAAATAAATATTTTAAAATGTTATATCTATACTATATTATAAAACATTTGATAAAAATTATTTTTTATGCGTTAAGTAAAAATTACAAGTAAATTGTGCGTAAATACAATTGATTAAAGCTCAATGTTTGAATTCTTATAACTAACTACAGATAAACATAATCAAATACAGAATAAACATCTCATTTTAAATATAAAAAATTTAAAATATAATTAAGATAATCATTGAGTTATAACAAAATACTTAATTATTATAAAATTATATTATTAAACCAACAACAAAAAAATGAATTAAAGAAATTATACAAAAAACAAGAAATTTTAAATTGTTAGTTTGGTACTAATATCAACATATATATTTCAAAATTTTATGATAATTTCATATTTATATTTTATTTAAAAATATAAACATTATCGTTTTTTCAAAATCAAATAAAATCATATTATAACATCGTTTGTAACAAAAATAAAAACAAAACATTAAAATCGAAATGTATTTTATTATATTATATAAGTATCCTTCTAATTTTAATAAATGAATAAAATATTTTAATAATATAACTGATCAATTTTTTAAAATCAAAGATTAATGTATTTTTTTTTAATTTTTTAATTTAATTGTTTTTTATAAAATCTGTTGAAGATGTAAAGTTGTTAACAAGTAGTGTTTTACTCACATCGATCTCCATGCAAACTCGAGTGAAAATGGGTCACATGGCAAGTGACCACAGCTGTGTCCACGCCCTTCTCTCCTCCTAGATTTATTCTTTTGTTTGACTACTCTTATCTTTCTCTCTCTCTCTAAAACCCAATCCCCCACTCTCTCTCTCTCTCTCTCTCTCTCTCTAAATTCTAAGCTGCTGCAAATTGGAATGATGGAAGTTGATCACTTATTGTTAATCTTCTGAAATCAAAAACACCCAATTCGAAACCATACCCTGAAGATGATGAAACCTCATAGATTTAGATTTGTTTTTGTTTTTATCTTGTTTCTCTCTCTAGCTTATGTTCATGGTGACGTTGATGAATCTCACCAGCTCTTATCGTTTAAATCTAAGCTTAAAAAGCCAAATCTTTTGGCAAATTGGTTGGTTGGGAATCACCCCTGTAATTTCAGTGGCGTTTCGTGCAAAAACTCGAGAGTTTCCTCCATAGATCTGAGTGGTACTGATTTGAGCTCTGATTTCCGTTTAGTTTCGACGAATTTGATGATACTTGCTAATCTTGAAATGTTAATGGCGAACAACTGTAATATCACTGGTTCTTTGAGTTGGGTTTCGAGATCTCAGTGTAGTCAAGCTCTCACCTCCATTGATTTGGCTGAAAATGGGATTTCCGGCTCGTTTTCCGATGCTTCCGCCTTGATGACGGCATGTCCTAGACTCAACTCTCTTAACTTGTCAAGAAACTCGATCGATTTTAATGGCGATTTGAAACCGATGGGGGTTTCTATTCAGTTTATTGATTTGTCTTACAATCGGATTTCTGGGTCGAAACCAAATGTTGTTCAGTGGATCCTTTCAAATGGCTGCCAGATGCTTCAACATTTGTCTGTAAAAGGAAACAAAGTCGCCGGAGATTTGCCGGAGTTCGATTGCCCCAGCTTGAAGTACTTAGATCTCTCTGCAAACAATTTCTCATCTGGGTTTCCTTCCTTTCGTGATTGCTCGACTTTACAATATGTTGATTTGTCATCTAATAAGTTTTACGGCGACTTATCTGCTTCTCTATCGGCTTGCAAACGTCTCAGTTTCCTTAACCTCACCCAGAACCAGTTCGCCGGCGAGATACCATTTTTTCCGGTAAACAGCAACCTCCAGTTTCTGTATCTATCAACCAATCATTTTCAAGGTGGGATTCCTCCACACCTCCTCAATCTATGCTCAACGCTGGTGGAGCTGAATGTTTCCGGCAACAACCTTTCCGGCATCGTCCCTGACGGCTTACAATCATGTTCTTCTCTACAGCTACTCGATATCTCTCGAAATAATTTCTCCGGTGAGTTACCCATCGAAACCCTTTTAAAAGTGAAGAGTTTGAAGACATTGGTGTTGGCTTTCAACAATTTCATGGGTTACTTGCCGGAATCTTTCTCGAAATTGACCAATTTGGAAACTTTAGATGTGAGTTCTAACAAGATTTCCGGTGGTATCCCTTCTGGACTTTGTCAAGGTACAAGTACAAGCTTAAAGGTGTTGTACCTTCAAAACAACAGGTTTAGTAGTCCAATACCTGCAACTCTCAGCAACTGTTCTGAATTGGTTTCTCTTGATCTGAGTTTCAATTATCTCACCGGAAAAATCCCTCCAAGTTTTAGGTTCTTATCGAAGCTTCAAGATTTGATCATTTGGTTCAACCACTTGGATGGTGAAATCCCAGAAGAACTCATGTATCTTCAATCTCTCCAGAATCTGATTCTTGATTTCAACTATTTAAGTGGCGTAATCCCACATACGTTAAGCAACTGCACCAATCTGAACTGGATTTCTCTGTCAAATAACAAGTTATCCGGCGAGATTCCGGCGTCCCTTGGTACTTTATCAAATCTTGCCATTCTAAAGCTTGGGAACAACTCTTTTACCGGCCAAATTCCGGTGGAGCTTGGTGATTGCAAGAGCTTGATTTGGTTAGATCTTAATACCAATGAGTTATCAGGTACCATCCCACCTGGTTTGTTTAAACAGTCCGGCTACATTGCCGATGCTTATCTCACCGGAAAACCGTACGTTTACATCAAGAACGACGGAAGTAAGCAGTGTCACGGTGCTGGAAATTTGCTCGAATTTGGTGGTATCAGAGAAGATGATTTAGGTCGGATTTCTGAAAGACACCCATGTAATTTCACTAGGGTTTACAAGGGAATCACTGAGCCAACCTTTGACCACAATGGATCGATGATGTTTCTTGATCTTTCGCATAATAACCTGCACGGCGGGATTCCGATGGGGCTTGGAGCAATGTACTATCTGTTCATATTGAACTTAGGCCATAATGATCTTACGGGTCCGATTCCCGAAGAGCTCGGGAGTTTAAAGAATGTTGCGATTCTTGATTTGTCGTATAATCGTTTCAACGGTTCGATCCCGAATTCGTTAACGAGTCTTGCATTGCTCGGAGAGGTTGATTTATCGAACAACAATCTTTCTGGAATGATTCCTGAATCGGCACCGTTCGATACTTTTCCGCAAGCTAGTTTCGTGAATAATTCTGGCCTATGTGGGTACCCGTTACCACGGTGCGAGTTGGGCCTCGGTTTGGGCTCGGGTCACCGGAAGTTGAACAGGGAACGAGCTTCATTGGCGGGAAGCATTGCGATGGGGTTGTTGTTCTCGGTATTTTGTATCTTCGCTGGGGTGATGGTGGCGGTGGAGATAAAGAAGAGGCGGAAAAAGACTGTTGATGCCGCGATGGATGGTACCATCGAGGGTGGTGGCAGTTCTTATTCTGGCGGGCGAGGAAACAGTACATGGAGGCTTCCGAGTACCGGAGAGGCATTAAGCATTAGTCTTGCAGCGTTCGAGAAACCGTTACGGAAACTCACGTTTGCAGATCTCCTCGATGCCACAAACGGGTTCCACAAAGACAGTCTAATCGGACGGGGCGGGTTCGGTGACGTGTACCGAGCCCAGTTAAAAGATGGGACCATTGTTGCCATAAAAAAACTCATACACGTAAGCGGTCAAGGCGATAGAGAATTCATGGCCGAGATGGAAACAATCGGAAAAATCAAACACCGGAATCTCGTCCCGTTATTAGGGTATTGTAAGGTCGGGGATGAACGGCTTTTGATTTACGAGTATATGAAGTTCGGAAGCTTAGACAACGTTTTACAAAACCGAGAAAAATCCGACATCAAACTTAATTGGGCGGCACGGCGAAAGATCGCCATTGGGTCAGCCCGTGGGTTAGCTTTCCTTCATCATAATTGTATTCCGCATATCATTCATCGCGATATGAAATCGAGCAACGTATTACTCGATGAAAACCTCGAAGCCCGGGTGTCGGATTTCGGCATGGCCCGGCTTGTGAATGCTATGGACACGCACTTGAGCGTGAGCACGCTAGCCGGAACCCCCGGGTATGTGCCGCCAGAATACTACCAAAGTTTCCAATGTTCAACGAAAGGCGATGTTTACAGCTACGGTGTCGTTTTGCTCGAGCTTTTGACCGGAAAACAACCGACCGATTCGCCGGATTTCGGCGATAACAATCTCGTTGGTTGGGTGAAACAACACGCGAAGCTGAGAATCAGCGACGTTTTCGATCCCGATTTGTTGCGGGAAGATCCGGGGTTAGAAATTGAGCTTCTACAACACTTAAAGGTGGCATGTGCGTGCTTAGAAGATCGGCCGCGGAGACGGCCGACGATGATTCAAGTAATGGCGATGTTTAAAGAGATCCAAGCAGGGTCTGGACTCGAATCGGCAGCGGTGAACGACGCCGGCGATGGCGCAGGTTTTAGCGTGGAGATGACGATAAAAGAAGACAGCGAGTTAAGTAAACAGTAACGTATGGTGATGCATTTTTGAAGTCGGGAAGGGGGATTTTCTGAAACTTGTACGTTATGCATTAGAAACTTGTACGTTATGCATTAGAAACTTGTACATTTGGCCAAACTCCTTCCACATTCCAATGAATGTATGTATTAATTATTAGTAGTAGTATCTTGTATATACATACATAAACATACATATCATAATCCATTGCCACTTTTATTCACCACATTACCATATTTTTAAACAAGACTCGTTTTTTATTTCACGAGAAAACTTTTAAAAATCATTTTTTTATGTATAAAGTATTGATTATTGATGCATGTTACTTAAAATTCAAGATTACAAGTAGATTGTGTACAAGACAACTTATTAAAACTCCTATATCTATATTCATGTAACTAACTACAGATAAACATAATCAAATACATGATAAACATCTCATTTTAAATATAAAAAATCTAAAATATAATTAGGATAATAATTGTAAATCTCAAAGGAACAAGTGTTATTTGAGAATACAAAACCCACACCTCAAGATCCTTCAGTGATGTCGAAAATAAAACTGAAGATAGAGACAAGCAGTTCATGATCTGATATAGTTTCAGCGATAACAAACCTGTGTACAAACATGTATGAAGTCTGCTCAAGATTCAACAAACATTGAAGAAACTTTAGAGTTATTCTAGTGTTAACAATCAAATGAATCTTCTTGGTCAAGATTAGTTTTTGTTTTATCCCCCTACACACAAAGGACAAACCCATAACTTTCAAAATAAAGTACTCGTACGAGTCACCTTAATGTCTCAAAACGTGCTTACCTACTTTGTGAATTACCACTATTCATATACGGCCAAAAGCTTGTATATCCGAAGATAAAGAACAAGATCATCTCTAGAAGCTTGCCACGTGCCTTGTTCCGTCTGACTCACTTTTAATGCAATGGGTATAAATAGTCATGGAGACTCTTCTCTCTAGAGTACAATATACCCAAGAAGAGAGACACGTACAAGCACAGACTTCTTATCCTTGCGAAGTTATGTTTACTTCAAGTGAATAACATCAACTGAGCTTACTCTCTAGAAAAGTTATTGCTTACCAAACGTGCTTACCAACTACCTGAAGCAAACTGTTCATATGCGGTCAAAAGCATATCATATCTGTAGGACCAGGACAAACGTTTCACTCAACTCTTGACACGTGGATTGTACTCTCTAAAATGCATTTAATGCAATTAGTATAAATAGCTGAAAATAGTCTTCTTCTTGGTTACACCTTCAACATCTCTTCTAACTCTCTTCTCTCTTGTTCTTACTTTCTTTGTGCAAGAAAAAGCTTAGTGATTCTTAAGATTGTTTAGAACAGGACTTCTCCTTATCTAGTTCCGCAACAATCTATAAGTTTCGTATTGGTTCTTCCTTAATATTTGAAGAATTTAAAAGTGAAAAATTAAGTGTTTGTATGCATCTCTCCTTCTCAAATTGTTTATACTTGTAGAACCTCTTTGGAACCCACACAAATTTTAAAATAGAAGTAAACCACAACGGTGGTGCCTGATTGGTTTGAGCATGACTCCAAAGGTCAAAAGTACCAGAAGTTCCCAGGTTCAAATCCAATGAGGAATAAAAACCTCCTTGTGGCCACCGAGGTTCAAATGAGGTGACTTCGGGTTATCTACAAAGCAAGTGGTCGCCCTGAGATTAGTCGGCTCGCATAGCCGGTTGGATATCCAGATTAATCAGATTTTTTTTTAAATAGAAGTAAATGTTGAGCTGGCCCAAAAACAAGACACAGGCCCATAACACGTTGGGCTTCAACCAGGTAAGGGCTCAAAATAACCCTAAAGGAGTGATCTGAACTCCGACGCCAAACACAGTCGTGGCTGTGGCCGGAAACACCTATTGGTAGCAAATGAAGGGTACCACCGAGCCACAGTGCGATTCATCGAGACCAGCAGAACAAGACTCGCCAATTCATCGTGCGACGTGGTGGTCCAAACACAATAGTGGCCACGGAATCAGACCAGCATAAGTTGTGACCTAGCCGTGACTGTGGCGATGAGGGTGGGGCATACTACGGCTGAGATGCCACCATGCCATGGTGAAAACGCAAGGCTAAAACCCGAGGGTTGTGGCCGGTCAGTCATAAAACGCCGCAGGGTCGTGGCCCCTTTGCGGCAATGATTGGAGATTGAGACAAGGCCGAACGGCGCTGGACCGTGGCCCTTAAAGCAGCAGCGAAGAACAGACAGCTTTTGATCGAACGACACAGTGTCGTGGTCCCTAAACGGTCCTCGTGCTATGACTTGCCACGGAAGCAATGAGCAGCAATTGTGCCATGGCACAGGAGCCGCAGTGCGTTGGGTGGTGGTGCGACAACGGCTGAACCGCAGTACAACCTCCTCCGGCGAATCGGTGCTTAGGTCTAATCTCTAGCTCCCATTGTCGGTCAAAGATGGAAAAACAAATCCCATTAACCAAAGGGCTGTGACTGAATGGTTTATGATTGAACTTAAAGTTCAAAATAAAATTGCTTATAAGTCTCAGATCAAATCCAACGAGGAATAAAAATCTTTTTGGGCTACAGAGGTTAAAATACGGTGATTCCGGACATCCGTAAAACAGATGGTCATCCTAGAATTAGTCGATTCGCATAAGAGGATGGATATCGGGTTAATTAAAAAACAAATCCCATTTAAATCCAAAGTTTTATTTTAATTCCTTTTCAATTATTTGTTTTAATACGTGAAGCTGTCTCAGATATCACTATTGGGTTTTGGCCTGATATGTAATCGTTTAAAGGCAGTGGAAAATCAATTTTGGTTACTAAATTAGAAGACAAATATAATAGGTTAAAACTAGATCTGTTTAAGGATTACCCGTTAAACCTGGTCTATTCGGCCGCTAGAAATACGGGCTTTGACACCATTATCGAGAAAATGGATGGACCCAGGTTTGCTTGTTAAAATTAACAGACGGACATTGACAAAGTAAAAAAATAAATATGTACAAGCTCGTCCAACCCGTTTATATTTTAACTGCAACGGTGCTTTTTCTCTACTTTTTGGTTCCATATTTGTTAATTAATTGTCAGTGATCAAATTTATAAATTTATAAGAGTTACCACTTTTTAGACGTGTTAGCCCATGGGCAAACCCGACCCGGTTATAGGACGGCCAATGGTAAGTTGTCAAGCCTGATAAAAAGGGCTTGGATTTATAATACTAAGCTCGTTGGACAAAAAAAGTTAGGCCCGATCCAGTTTCAACTCAGACCCGTAAATGATTACCTCTAGTTAAAACACAAGTCGAATCCAATAATGATTAAAACAAATTACAACACATATAGAGTGTTTAGGGATGTACCTTCTGAGTTCTGGCGAGGAATCTGATGTAGCACTTAGAAACCGAACAAGATTTCCTCTATAGTTTTTTTTTGAAGTGTATATATATAAATATATATATATATATATATTATACGACAAATAAAACAAATAAACTCACACATCCTTCTCACCTTTGGTGGAGTTTGAACTCTTGACATCGTAGAAAATCAAGGACTCACATACTGCTAGGCGAAAGGCCCCTTGGTGTTTCCTCTATAGTTGATCCACACATGAACACATGTAAATCTTCCACCGGGTGTTAGCCTAAAAGAACTCTTATTATAATATGTGTATTTAGATTGATAACCAAATTCTGAGAATTGAATCATCAAACTAATTTTGCCCGACACCCTGTTTATATGGGCAAAATTATAAATAGACTGTAATTCAAAAATAAGGTTTATTAATTTTTTTGTAACATATATAATTATCTTAAACTTTAAAATAATTAATCATATTTACAGATAATACCATGTAGTTATCATAACCACTATTTAGCACATATTTTCATAATTCTCCTCCAATAATAATTATTTCCTATAATCAACTTGATTTAATCTGCGATCCTACAAGTGAAAGTAAGCAAATTACTTGCGTGTGACCCTATAGTTTTATATACTCCTCAAGAGTATCCATGTGTGACACGTGTCATAGGCATATAAAAACTTACAAGAGCGATGGTTGCCGTTAGGGCATTTTTGGGATGACACTTTTGAAGATCCATAGCGTCTCATATTGATTTGAAATCTTTTGATGATCGTAGCTACAGTCGATGTTAATCTTTAGCTAGTTGGTTTAGATTATTAGGTTGTTAGCTACCATTCTTATACATTGATTGTAAATGCTTACATTTTCCCCATTATTTAGGTGATTATGTTTATCAAAGTACCATTTTTTCCGTTACATTTCCCTGTTACCTTTTACATATGACACTTTATTTGAAAAATATTCGAAAAAGCTTGTAAACAACGTATTAAAAACGTCATATAAACTTATTGTAACATTTTTAAATATGAAACACGATTGTTTGGTTCTATAAACCAAGTCTTATAAGGCAATCTATGAGGACATTTGAATTTTTTTTTGATTAACCTGGATATCCAATCCGCTATGCGAACCGATTAATCCCAGAGCAACCACCTGCTTTGCAGATAGCCTGGAGTCACCGCATTTGAACCTCCTTGGCTACAAGGGGATTTTTATTCATGTTTGGATTTGAACCTGAAACCTCTAGGTACTTTTGATATTTGGAGCCAAGCTTAAACCAATCAGGCATCACCTTTATGGCTCATTTGAAATATTTTTAATGTCAGTTAAACCTGATTTTGTTCTAGCATAAACTAGTACAAATTCTATCTGGGCTCTTATCGAAATTAAAGTACTGAATAGGGACCATATGACCAAACCAGTTCTTAACTGGTTTTGCATTGTATACATCTATAGCGTGTGTGTGTGTGTATATATATATATATATATATCAACAATCAACTCGTAGTCTCTAATTTATCACTAATAATGATAGCAAACGTGGTACATATACTTACGTAATACCTTGTCACCAAAGAGTTTTAACATTCATATCATCTGGTAGAAAAAAAAAACATTGGTTTTCTGTAAAACAAGCATTCATTTACATTTGTCCAATAAAAAAAAAGGACATCATATACGAACGCAACAACTCTGAGCAGTAACCATTATTTATATCTTGCTATCAAGATTGCACTAAGATAGTCTAGAGCCAGAAGAAATTGCAGAGCTTTGAAGAGTTAGCTTCTGAATCCTCCTCATTTAGTGACGGCGAATGAGCATGTCTCCCTTCATAAGTTGTAATCACCATTCTTGGATCCTCTGCCAATCTCTCGACTCGTTTCTTCACACGACAACTGTCTTGTGTGCATCGATAGTAACTCCTGCATTTTTATAGTTAATTGTGTCACCATTTTGTTTTATTGTATACTGTAATGTTAACATTTAAAAATTTGAATCCACCTCTGACGTTGTTTATCTAATTAATAGTTTTCTTTTAGAAACTATGATTGTTATTTTATAGTTTCAAAATTATAAAAACGAAAACTGCTATTTTTGTTAAATCATGGGAACCAAATTTGTAGTTTACTCTAAATTTAGTTTAAAGTAACTACGAATCCGAGAGCTAAAGCCTTACTTTCAAGTTTCAACTCAACCAAAATATTTGCCGAGGAAAAAACATATTTTTTCCTGATGAAAGATGTTGTGAAAATGAGAGTTAAGATGAAAAGCGTAAGAAGTGATCTGGACCTTTAATCACTTTTAATCTCAAACTCACTCATTAATCGTGCTTGATACATGGATTGCTCTGGTAGATCTCAGTGCATCTCATCCTAATATGCATTTAAGGATGTAAATCTCTTCTTACATTTCTCAACATATCTCTCATCCTCACTGCAACTTAACCCTTTCGACTATGTGGTTTATATATTATAAAGTATGAGTTCAGTATAATGTGTTTGATTTTGTAAGTAAAACAGGTTGATATTTTATGTTTAGATCTGAATTGATGATATGGGTTCATGTTCTTATTGGATTTTTACTTGTGCTCATGTTTATGGTGTTCTGTTTAACTTTTGCAAGAGACATGATGGGGAACAAATGGTGGTCGAAGGGAGGCCAAGGGTGGGGGCTCTGCTTCACCGGGAAAATATGGGATTATATACAAAGTATATACTAGAAGGATAGTCGTACAATCCAACGAAATATATCTCAATTTTAATGTTTCGTTTTATTCTGTCTCTGTAAATGTTATAATGCGGTTTATTTGGTTTTGAGAAAAAAATAATGTTTTTATTTTTAAATAAAATATAAATTTGAAGATATCATAAAATTTCAAAAATAAATATATCAGTATTAGTATCAAATTAACTATCTAAAAGTTTCTGTTTTTTTAATGTAATTTCTTTACTTCAATTTTTTATTATAATTTAATTTAAATTTAATAACGAATAAATTTATTTTTTATTTAATAATCTTTTTTTTGTAAGAATAATAATTAAGTATTCTGTTAGAACTCAATGATTATCTTAATTATATTTTTAGATTTTTTATATTGAAAATGAAATGTTTATCTTATATTTGACTATGTTTATCTGCAGTTATTATACAGATTCAAATATAGAGCTTTAATAAGTTGTACTTATGCATAAATTATTTGTAATATTAATTTTAAATAATATTCATCAATAAACAATACTTTATGTATAAAAAATAATTTTTAATAATTTATGTCAAATTCTTTATAATATAGTATATATATATATGGAGTAAATTACCTCTTTGGTCCCTATGGTTTTTACTTTTTAGTATATAAAATAAAAGTATGATTAAAATGACAAAAAAAATGTCCTATTAATTAATTTTGTTTAACAAAAAATAATTAACAAAATTAGTAATAAGGACTCAATTTGTTATAAATTTACAAACCAATGTAATCCCTAATTATTTTAAAAGAACCGACATGATATGGTATACCATATAAACTATATAGACGAAATATCTGTCCATTCAAGTAAGAATTGATTAGTTTATGATAACCGTGAGATCCAATTTCAATCACAAATCAAAGATTAAATTAGGAAATTAATAATTTTGATAATTTTAACTTAAAATATTAATTAAAGGCATTTTAAGCATTCTAGATTTCTTCTCTCTCCTCCCTCCTCTCAACTCTCTTCGTCAAACACCTACTCTCTCCAACGAACACCATATCAAGACATGATGTACATTGTGATACGCTTCATAAAATAACAAAAAAAAACACAGTGTGATACCACTATGTTACCACTACGATACCCAATAACTTTTAACAGTAAGAAATTATATATTTTTTTCTCAATTGTAACTTTATAAAAAGAAATTTCCATAATTTGTTTCATTAAATCAATATTTTTGTTTGATAACTCTTCAGAAAAATATCAATAAAATTACTAATACATTCTTTTTCTTAATTGAAACAATACAACTAATATAATAAAATGATTGACTCATATTAGATCTCACAATTACCATAAATTAATTAGTTCTCATTTGATTAGACCCTTATTCAAATATTTATTATGAATACATAATTTCAATATGATTTTTCCTTTTTCCTAAAAATAAATAAAAAATCCAAACTGGCAAATGCTCTTTTCATTATGTTTTTTGGAGGATGGAGAACCAAGGTTTGTCTCTTTGTGATACTTTAGCATCTCTTTTTCTTCATACAAGTACAAGAGAAATAAATATCAACCATTACATATGATTTTAATTGAAGGGATGTATAATTACTACAGTTGTTCATAAGCGGGATGACTCGTTAAAATTGTCATATCCGGCCCGTTAAAAAACGGACTTCGATTACCATTCTCAAATAAATGGACGGACCTGGACTGACTTGTTAAAATTAATGGGTGGACATTGACTTGGGTATGTCCGCCAGACCCATTAATATTCTTATAATAATTAACTTTTATAATTAAAATTTACAAATTAAATTAAAAATTCTTTAATACTTGTCAATTCCTACTTAATTATCAGCGGACAAGCCCGACCCGTTTATAAGACGGGTATGGGTAAGTTTTTAAACCCGTAAAAACAAGGTTGGTTTTAGCATATTAGATCCGTTAGACAAAAAAATAGGTTAAGTCCGACCCAGATCCGATCCAAACCCGCAAATGATCAGCTCTAATGATTACCGCATATAAAAAAAAAAAAGAGTTTTTAATTTTAAATAATTTAAATGTATGAGAAAAGTAAAAAATGAAGGTTGTAAAAAGTAGTGAACATAAGTTTCAAAACCCACTTGCTGCAAGATCCAGACAATTATGGTGCTCTGTGTTCTGTAACCTAAATGCATGCAAAGAAGAAAGGCATAGAGTTTCACTTATTACACTTTGGCCCCACCACTTACTCCTTTTTTACTATTTGGCCACCCTTTTCTTTACTCCACCCAATACCCCAACTTCTAACCTTTTGCTTTTTGTATTAGTATATTGTACTTTTGTAATCTATCAAGATATATCTCGATTTCAATGTTTTGTTTTATTGTTTGTCTCTATCGATGTTATTATACGATTCTATGTGGTTTTGAGAAAACAATGATGTATTTGTTTTTTAAATAAAATATAAATTTGAAAATATTATAATTTTTTTTAAATATATCGATATTAGTATAAAATTAACTATTTAAAAATTCTTATTTTTTTGTGTAATTTCTTTAATTTAATTTTTTATTATAATTTAATTTAAATTTAATAACGAAGTAATTTATTTTTGATTTAATAATATAACTTTTTATAAAGATAATAGTTAAGTATTATGTTGGAACTCAATAATTATTATAATTATATTTTAGATCTTTTATATGTAAAATCAGATGATTATCTTGTATTTAATTATGTTTATCTGTAATTAGTTATACGAATTCAAACATTGATTGATCAGTTGTAAAAAATTGTGCATAAATTACTTGTAATCTTGAATTATAAGTAAAATATATTAATAAACAGTACTTTATGCATAAAAAATAATTTTTAATTTTTTTTAATCAAATGCTTTATAGTATATATATATATATATATATATATATATAGCAAATCAGTTGTAAATCGTCCTAAGATTACATATCATACAAACTCATCCATACTGTTATTTCTTTTATCAATGATTTGTGCATATTGAAGAGAATTTTGGATTTGAAATGATGAAAACTACAGAAATGGTAATTTTGGGAGATACTTTAAATATTTTAAATTTGAATTTGATTTAATAATTAAATGCTTATTTATTTTCGGTTATAAACATGGACGGATCTATAGAAGGGCATACGGTGGCATGTGCATCATATTATCTCTCCAAAGAAAGGTTAAACGTTTTACGTTTATGAAGGGTGCAACTGTATCGTTTTAAGAAGGTGCAACCGTACCTTGTAATCAACCAAAAAACTAAAAAAAGAAATCTTGAAATCAACCAAAAAACCGAAAAAGTCATTTGAAATCAATAAAAAAAAAATTCTTCGAAATCAAGCAAAAAAACTTGCGAAATCCATAGAAACAATGGAATTAGGCTAAAAACACATCGAGCGATGTGCTTTTTGTAATTAATTTTTGTCTATATTATATGGTGACACCATATAAAAGAAAACCCTAGTTCCCTATGTGGTTATAGATATTCCATTATTAGCTCATCCACCTTTATCATAAATAATATATATGAAACGTTACTATGAATTGTTTTAAAAAAAAAGTTAATATGTTATTGTTTCAAATGAGAATCAATAATTAGTTTGACTTCATATAAGAAACAAAAGGGTCACATTTTAAAAGTTGATGTGTTGTTTTATAAGTAAAACAACAGTAGTATTACACGAGGGTAACAAAAAATGTTAATGTTTCACATAAGAATCAATAATTGGTTTAGTTTTACATGAAAAACGTAACGATTACAATCAAGTTGATTGGAAAAAATGTGAGAAAATCGGTTACATATGGCAATGAGATTTTTAAGGAAAAGGATAATTCTTAATATAAATTGGACAAAGATGTATTTGTTTGTATCGTTTGTAACATTTGGACGGTTTGCAAAAAGAAGGTGACTCTCTCTCTCTCTCTATATATATATATACGTGTGTGTGTATGTGTATGTATGTATATGTATATATAGACGAAGAATCGTATGATAATAGAATCACTTTTAATTTCTCCCCCACTCATGAATTGCAATTTTCACAGGAATTGATTCCGTACATATGGGTGCATTTCATTAGTGTTGATTTTTAATTATGAATGATCTAAAAGTGAAAATCACTTATTACCCTTCTCTCCATAAGTTTCATTCTCACCAAAACCGAACCCTACACACACGTGTGTGTGTGTGTGTGTATATATATATATATATATATGGATTCCAATAAAATTAACATATATTCATGAGAATGTAAGATCAATAAGCGAAGGAACCATAATATTGTGTGGATGTCTTCCATGTAAACTTTGAATGTAGCCTTATATTAAATGGATATTACAACTTTCAAACAATGTAAAGGTTATCATCGTTACAAAATATAAGCATGTCTTTTTATGTTAGTGAAAAATTCTCTCATTATTTTGACTATTATATATACACATACATATATATATATGTGTGTGTATATATATATATACACACACATATATATATGTGTGTATATATATATATAGCAAGAGAGGGGTTAAGATAAAAACAATTAAAAGATTGAAAATATAAAGATAGATACCAACCATAAGATGGATTTGGTTAAAAAGAATTGATTAACCCAATAAATAAAAATATATATTGTTATACTGTGAAAGTATCATTATATTTAATGTTGAGTTTTTGGTTAAAGCAAGTGAAAATATCATTTTATTGTGTGAATGTATCTCATATATATATACACATATATATTAATTATAGAGAGAGAGGTGAGTTATTATATAATCTTTTACATTTGTACAACCTACAATACAATTCAATCTCGACCGTCCATTTAACTTGATGAATATGTGATTTCATAAAAATTTAAATTGTTTTCTAAGAGAAAGTATTGATCAAAATTAATTAACTCTAGTTATATTCCATAAATATTCAAAACATAATAAATGAAATCTTATCATTTCCAAAAATATCTTAATTAATTGAGTTGCATTGTTTGTATAAATGTGATAGATTGCATTTGAAACGTCCCCTCTCTCTTTATATATATATATATATATATATATATGAACTGTAAATTTACTTTTTATATTATGCAAAAATTATAACTTTTAAACATATATGACTTTCATAAAATACTATTAAAGGTGATGGAATGTTGTAATCTTCACATAAACAAACAAATATCTTTATATTTTTAATAAAATATAAAATTCTTGCTATATATATCATATATATATATATATATATATATATGCATATATATATATATATATATATAAAGTTTTTTTGAAACAACTTTTGACTCTTCAAGCTAACGAATTCCTTTGTTCTTATGTTAATTGTCATCATAAACCAACTTACGTTTTTGTTCTCTTGTCCGTTTTAGCTTGTGTGACGATACATTCATTGTTGGGAATTCACTTTCTAGCTTCGTTTTATGTTTCGTACGACCATGTTTGAAAGAGTTAAGGTTATGGTTAATTAAATGAGTAAACTACTCATGCAAGTACTTGGGAAGGTGCCCAAGAAGTTATTAAATTCTTGTCATTAATTATTGGTATGATTTGATTAATTATGATGGTTTTGTAACCAATTTAATTGCATAATTATACACTTTCTTGATTCACAATGATCACTACTTATTTTGGCCCATGGTTTATATACATATTGAGCAATCATTAATACTCATACATTATCAAAAGTCATTCTTCATAGCTCCTAAAAAGCTATCATCCAAATTTACACCTTTATAATTTCATTTTAAACAATATAATTTTGTATGTTGTTTCATATATATACATATATATATATATATATATATATATATATATGGTTGGATTTCGATAAGGAGGATAACTAAGGTAAGAAGAGATTTTCATTCTTAGATGTACATTAAGATGAGATGCACTTGATCAATCTTCGTATCAAACGCGATTCATTGGTGGATTTGATATTAAAGGTGATCAAGGGTTCAGATCTCTTTATATGGTTCTCACCTTAGGTCTCCTTCTCACACGATCTTTGCTTTCGGAGGCAGTATTAGCTGATCAATCGTCTATCCATAAATTTTCAGTAATAATTATATAACAGATAATTGGTTCAACTTCAAATTTTGGTAGTGATCTTGGTTTCTTGTTCAATCGATTGTTTACCCTAAAAGAGACCTAAATGTCAACAGTCTTACAAGTTTTCACAAGATATAGTTAATTATATATACATATATATATATAAAAGAGAGAGAGAGAGAGAGAGAGAGAGAGAGAAGATGAATGAAGTAAGCATAAAAGAAGAAGGTAAGGAAGCAAGTACCTGGGGTGTTGTGTGTTCTTGACGACTTTTTGGCCATATTTTCTCCATTTGTAACCATCATCCAAGACATCAATATCACTCATGGTCTTGAAGCAAAACCTTGGCTCCCTCACTTTCCTTCTTGATTTGAATTTCTTCATCTTCATCCCAGAAACCCCTAGATGATCATCCCTACTCCTCCCTAATATCTTGTTGCTTATTATCTCACTCACTTCCCCCCATGCCCTAATCACACACAAATAACCCCATTAAAACTAATTAAGCAGAAACTAATCATTGCCCAACTGGGCTTATATATACACATATATATATATATATACATATATGTGACTGATTTGTTCAAGATAACCCATCAAAACCCTTGTGGAAGAAATTAAGATGCATGCTTACCAGTTTGAAGTTTGTAAATTAGGAAGCAGATGAGAGGCTCCAAGATCTAGTTGTGGTTTGGAGTGGTGGGAAAGGGGTGATAGAGTTTTTAGGGTTTGATTGGAATCTAAGGGAAGGTGAGAGATCATGTTTGTAGGTGTAGGAAATGGTAAGAACTCTTGATCTTCTAAAAATGCTTGGTTGAGCATGGCTGCTTGGGGGCTGAAGAAAGATCTGTTTGGTTTGCAAGGAAAAAAGAAATGCTGAATAAGATGGAATTCAAGACACAAAAAGGAAGTTTCAATTCATGGGTTGGATGCTTTATGAAGGAACTAAAAATGGTATTCAGATACGAGTATATTTTTAATATTAAGATCTAATTATGGGCTGAATTATAATTTCAGGTAATCATTACCGCTCAGCTAAGAATTAATTTACACTAAACTCATATAATAAATATTAAAAAAAAAATGAAATTTTAGATGCAAAAAGAATATCAGCAGATGCTCGGGATGTGTAGAAAATCATCCAATCCAATTTAAACCGACCGACCAAAATCAGATATCTAATTGTAATTGAATCAGATTGGGTTCAAAATTTCAACATCCAAATCGGATCAGTCAGTTCTTAGATGGTACCGAACCGATCTCCAATCCAAGTATCATCCAACTAATATCCAGTTAATAACTATATATAATTATTAACATTTTACGGTATTTTTTTTAGTGTATATATATATATATATATATATATATATTGTTTTTTAAGAACTTAAGAAAATATATGAATAATTGGTTGAAATGGTGGATTAATTGGTTGAAAATTGGATCAAAAGATTGAACGAATCCAATTCAATCTGATGGATAGCCAATAGTAAAATCCAATGGATGGAAATGATTCGATCCAATCATCCACTGGATTTAGATCGGATCGGATGTCCACCGTTAATCGGATGACAAAATCCAATATCCAATGGAAAAGTGGATCGGATCGGATTCATCTAAATTAATTGGATTTCAACCGATGAACACTCCTACTCTATAATTCTATTTTTAATTGTTAATTTCTAAATCCATATTTATGTACTCTGACTAATGTTTTAGGCTACCATAAATTAAGGTTGCACATATTCTAATACAATATTAACATAATATAATGTGTTAACATAATATTCATATAATATGAAAATACTTTCACACTTTCTCATATTCTTAGGAACACTCAATTTTACTATATGATCCTATATAACAAACCCCCCCCMCCATATATATATATATATATATATATATATATATATACTATATTATAAAGCATTTGACAAAAATTCTTAAAAACTATTTTTTATGCATGAACCACTGTATATTGATGCATATTACTTAAAATTCAATATTACAAGTAAATTATGCATAAATACAACCTATTAAAGCTCCATGTTTGAATCCGGTGTAACTAACTGCAGATAAACATAATCAAACAGAGAATATAACATCTCATTTTAAAATATAAAATATCTAAAATATAATTAGGATAATTATCGAGTTCTAACAAAATAATTAATTATTATCTTTATAAGAAAATTATATTATTAAACCAAATATAAATTACTTCATTATTGAAACTAAATTAAATTATAATAGAAAAATTGAATTAAAAAATTACACAAAAAATAGAAATTTTAAATAGTTAATTTGATACTAATATCGATGTATTTTTGTTAAATTTTTATGATATTTTCAAATTTATATTTTATTCAAAAATAAAAAATCATTGCTTTTTCAAAATCACATAAAACCATATTATAAAATCAACTGAAATAAAGAATAAAATGAAATATTAAAATCAAGATGTTTTTTGCTACATTGCGCGAATACATTTCTAGTATATATATATCACAATAAAATTTACCTCTTCAAAACTCTTAATTTTTTTAAAAGAAAAATATAATGTATTAAAACAATATTGCATACAACTTTTTTTTAATTTTTTTTAATAATATTTCTATTTTACTCATTTTATAAACAATAAGAATGAAAAATTGAAAAATATGGCAAAATATTATATTTCAGGCTATATATTCTATAAAACTCACAACCAACGATAGACTCTTGCTCTCAAAATCATAAAAATTCATAAAATAAAATTAAAAGAGACGAAATAATGACGTATTATGTTATATTGCATGAGTACACCTTCTAAAACATACAATGTTGACATGACATCTCGTCATATCAGTATTTATGCATTCCTTTTTCCTCAAACATTCCCTTTTATTTTAGGTTTTATATTTAATCTAAAACTTTTACTCTTCATCTTCTAGCGTTACAATTTTTTATCTTCTACATCTCTCTATCATAAACTTTTTTACTCTTCATCTTCTACCGTTACAATTCATTTTCTTCTACATCTCTCTATCATAAACTTCTTTGCTCTTCTCCATCTCTTGATCCCGATAAGAAATTATGGATTGAAAACAAATAATTAAATATCTTTTAACTATTTTATTTTTTTAGGGGCCGTTTACCAAACACTTACCCGGTAAAATTCAATACTATTATTTACTTATTGGGTAAGATTTTAGTCAACAACGACTTTCTATGCGAAAATTTACCCGGTAAGAGCTAAGCGTGGTAAAAGTCATTGCTCTCACTTACCGAATATCACTCTCAGTCCTTGCCTCGGGTAAGATTTTTGCTCTTTATCATATTCATCCGATAAGGTAATATAACTTGATAAGCGCTTACCTAAGTAAACATTTGATAAACGGACTCTAACTCTAAATTTTAATAAGGTATATTAATATTTTTGTTATAGTAATGATGAAGCACCTATATATATTGCTTGTCTCCACTAAACCACATAAAGTTGAAATCAAAGCGGTATAGGAGGGAAAAGGAGCCAACTAGAAAATTGAACAAAAGGTCCCCTTTAAAATTCATAAAGAGAAAAAAAAGGGTTTTACCTTTTAGGGTTCACATCATTTCTAATTTCTTGGGAAAATAAAACTAGTGAAAATATTGTGACAATGTATATAAATAGAGGGGTTGTTTGTTTACCTTTTAATTGTTTTATTAAAAGACATCATCTAAATCGTTAAGAGATGAATCTTGTTTGACAAAGAAAAAGTTTGTCTCTGAATGGTTCTAAAACTCTCTGAATGGTTTTGTATCTTAGGTATCCCTTAACTATTCATCACTCTAATTTCATTCTGAGTAATTATCAAATAATTATATTTCATTTTGCACTATATTATGAGAGTCTTTTTATCATTCTGACCACTTAATCATTCTGCACCAAACCATTCAGCAACTGCTAAACAGCCCCTTACATTTATCCGAAATCATTATTGTTATTTTCCATCGACGAAAATGTTGTTTTCGTATTTTGACAATATTATCATATTTTGACAATACTTTTCACTTTCCCTCATTACATTTTTCCATCCTTAATCGAAACCGTTACTCTAACCACAATTTTTTATTGAAATCAATCAAAAAACCCAAAAAAATTATTCGAAATCGACAAAAACACTAAAAAATTTCTCGAAATCAACCAAAAAACTTTAAAAATCCATCGAAACGTTGTAATCAGGTTAAAAACACATCGGACGATTTTGCGGGCCATTGGTCTACCTTAAAGGTGACCCCAACTGAACAAAAATCCTGGATCCGCCACTGTTGTGAAGTGTCGAGAAGAGAGTTTATGATCTCCCAAATTGATCTCTAAACACTAAGTTGACTTCTTAAGATTGACAGGGTCCATTTAACCTATCTCTCGGTAGAGTGCATTTTGTCAGATGATGTTGAAGCTATTTTTAAGCACAATTAGCTGATTCAAACAAGGATTGTCAACCTATGTCTTTTTTTTATGCAACCAGTCATTCCGTTGGTGAATAAAAAGCATTCCTCATCTTTTTACGTTTTCGAACATTTTCATTCTCATTTTCGTTTCCATTCCATGAAACAGACTAAATATTCCATAAGACTTTTTGGACATAACCTAACGACTACGAGTCTAACCACTGTATTTTGGATATCAGTTGATACACACATGACAGCATTTTTCTCGACCAAATATATATTCTCGAATCTGTTAAAAAGAAAATGTTGGGTGTAAATGTGTTTTAGTCACAAGAAAGTAGAAATACAAAGAGCAATGATGGATAAATCTTAAGTGCAAATCTCTTATGTGGTGAAAGATATCATTATGATGATGGTTGAAGAGGCCCCAATTTGAGTATTTGACTTTTGGCATGAACAAAAGTGAAAGTGGAGAGAAAAAAGCCATGAACCTTTTTGTCACACTTCCTCCAAACCCCACATCTACCCACCATTTCTTTCAAGTCCCAAACTAACCCATAATATAGTTATCATCTCTTCATTTACACACATTAATCTAACCTCACTTTACTTACCATAAAGATCAACAGATATGTCAATCAGTGTTGTGGTGGAGTGGTTAGTACCTAGGCAGTTCATAGCGCTGAACCCTGGTTCGAATCCCTCTACGCACATCCTACGCGACATTTACCAAAGGGGTATGCTTAGTCCTGGATGTGCCTGGGATTAGTCGAGCTTCAGCTCGGATACCCTTTCAAAAAGATCAACAGATATTTACATCTAACCATTGTATCATGTTATTTTGTTAATGCATACTTAAAAGAGTATCGACTGTAGTAGAAACAGGGAAGGAACAGATGAAGTTAAAAAGCATAGTACAACAAAGGGTTGAAGGTTTCCTTCATGAAGGATAGATCGGTTTTCAAAAAAGGATATGTGTGATTCAATTTAATGTTGTATATTGGTGTTTTTGGGTGAAAATGTAATTTCATGTTTAAATTTTGTAAAAGTGGGATTTAGCTATATCTATACTATATTATAAAATATTTGACAAAAACTATTAAAAACCATTTTTTATGTATGAAGTACTGTTTATCGATGCACATTACTTAAAATTCGAGATTACAAGTAAGTTATGCATAAATACAACTTATTAAACCTTCATGTTTGAATTTATGTAACTAATGCAGATAAATATAATAAAATAGAGCATAAAAATTTTATTTTAAATATAGAAAATCTAAAATATAATTATGATAATCATTGAGTTCTAACAAAATAATTGATTATTATATTTATAAAAACTATATTATTAAACCAAAAATAAAAAAAATAAATTAACGAAATACAGAAAAACGAAAAATTTTAAATAGTTAGTTTGGTACTAATATCA